GTTTCTTTAGCAGAAAACTCCTGACCCATACCTTTTTTGCTGCTGGAAAAATCTATGGTTAAGGTTCTGAACTCTGTTGGTTGTCCTTTTGCCTGTGATAGTTTACCGAATGTTTCTGTTTGTAGTTCAGTGGTAAAGGGTGTTTGTAGTTGATTTCTGCGGCCTCCTGGTCATTCTTCTTAGTACTCTTTACTTGGATTATAACAGCATACCCATTGTGATCCCACAAATGGGGTCTGGGGATGGTGGGGTGTACACAAACCTTACTCCTACCAACTGTTCTTTACTTGGATTCTCTATCAATATTGCTGTTCTATATTTTGCAGCTGGAGATGGCAGAGGATTGTTTGAAATACGCTAATGACTTGAGTGGTTTGCTGCTGCTTTATTCCTCATTAGGAGATGCTGAAGGAATTGCTGAATTAGCATCTCTTGCAAAAGAGCATGGAAGAAACAATGTTGCATTCCTTTGCCTGTTCCTCCTGGGTAAAGTGGAAGATTGTGTTCAGCTGTTGGTTGACAGGTACTTTTTTCGTTTGAGATCCTCTTCAGTTTGTTGCCACTTGTCAGATTGTTGTCAACTCTGGAATGATATTCTCTATTGCAATTACTTTGCAGCAACCGGATACCTGAGGCTGCATTTATGGCAAGATCTTACCTTCCAAGTAAGGTTTCTGAAATAGTTGCAATGTGGAGGAAGGACCTTAATAAGGTCAGTGATATTCATTTTTGTGATTGCTATTAGATTTCCATTGTCCACTATTTAAGGAGCTGTGTATTCGCTTGGTCAATTTTTTTTAAAAAATATGTTACTTTCGTTTTAATCTTTTTAAAAATAAATAAAGAAATAAAGTACAATGCTTCAGCCTCATATTGCGGGGATCATGCTTTTTGACCTTTAGGTTAACAGTGCAAAGGAACTTAGGAGCTCTTTGATGGTACTGTTATGCCTGTGATAAGACATACAAATTTGCTGGTGTTGGCGTGTGTGTTCTCTTTTCCAACTTTTGCTTGCATTTGCATGTGCCTGAAAATAGCCATGAAATATTTCTGTCAATTTCTCTCAGCGGCCAATGTGGCCTGAGAACACCCTATATTCGATACAGACATCCTTTTAACTTCACGATTAGAATTTGAGTTTCTTTGTTAAAAAAATGATTTGAACTTGAGTGCAAGTAGTAAGAGAACTGCAGAAAAGGTTGTCTTTTATGGGTAAGAAACAGTCTGCAGAATTATTTGCAACCATATCACTCAGAATTCCTGTCAGATTTTGAACCTAGTTTTCTGCATGATTTCGGCCTGTAGGTTAACCAGAAAGCAGCAGAAGCTTTGGCTGATCCTGAAGAATATCCCAACATGTTTGAGCACTGGCAAATTGCACATGCTGTTGAAGCTAGAGTCGCAGAGGAAAGGTGTATATAGACCACTATTCCCCTTTGTGTGGATCTTTTGTAGCTTGTACACTGGTGGCTCTTTGAAAAAAATTTACATCTCTTTTTCTATTTGTACTCCTTTCCTCTTATTGCTGGAGTATGAATTCAACAGGGCTTAATGAATGGGCATATTTAACACTAGTGTGGACTGATTCCCAGTTATGAGACTAAGTGTTGCGCACAATTTTATTGTGAAAATTTTTCATCAAGGTTATTTTCTAATTTTATGTAGGGGTGTATACCCACCAGCAGCAGATTATGGAAATTATGCTGATAGACCAACTTCCAACCTTGTAGAAGCTTTCAGCAACATGAGAATGGATGAAGAAGAACCCCTTGAAAATGGAGAAATGGACCACGAGGTATTAGATGGACATGTTTCTATTTGTCTCATATGAGGATTCATTTTCCATTATGTGTCCATTTATATATATATTAAAAAAAAGAAGTAGAAAACATAGTTAGCATTTTACATTATTTTGTTTATACAATGCTGGGGATTAGGTATGGATGTATGGCATAATAGTTTGTATTTCAAGCATCTTAACAACAACCTTATGCTCGATGGTAGTTGATACCCTTCATACAAGCAGCTTATACGACTAATCACTGTGGTAAAGGCCATGTTTAAAACTGATTGTTTCCTTGTTTAAACTCCCCAGGTTGTGGAACAGAATGGTGATGAGGTGCAAGAACAGGGACAAGATGGCACTCAACAGGAGAGCCAAGAAGAGGCTGTTGTTGTAGATGCTGACTCTACTGATAGTGCAGTACTCGTCAATGGAAACGAGGCTGAAGAAGAGTGGGGTACGAATACTGAAGGAAAACCGTCAGCCTAAAAGCAATTGGTTGGGCCGGTGTGAAAATCCTAATTTTGTAGCTGGTGATTAATTGAATTTCTTTTAGTTGCTGTGTTTGGCTCCTATACATTCCAAATCCTTCTCTTTTTTCTTTTAGGCCTCCTTGTTTTTTCTTTAACCTTAACTGCTTGAAGCAATTGCAATTTTGGCAAACCCAACCTTGAGAAGGCATATTGCCTTTCCTATGAAATACTAAAATGTGGAGTTTGGAGTTTGTTCTCTTCTTTCATGTCTAGATATTAATGTATTTTCAAGCTTTTTAAAGTACCTCAATCCATAGATAATTTCTGTCATTTAGCTTGAACTGCTTCTATGGGTGAAAATTCCAGCACTGGCTAATATTTTTCAGCTGATTAGCATTTGACATTCATTTGTTTTTGGCATAAGTTAGGAAGTTAACTACGTTGGCATTCATTTGTTTCTTGGCATTTCACTTCTCCTTCTCGATTTGTCCCTATTTGTGCTTGTTCTTTTCTTTTTCGTTCAATTTATTGTTACTTATACTGCCTCTCTTATTAGCTGTTGTGTTATGTTTTCGTCAATGTTTTTTTCTTCTTCTTTATACCTGAAATTGCTGAACTTGAGCCAAGGTCTTTACGAAACAACCTTTCTACCTCCACGAGGTAGTGGTAAAGTCTGCGTACACTCTACCCTCCCCAGACCCCACTTGTGGGATTTCACTGGGTATGATGTTTTTTGTGGTTGTCAATTTATTGTTACTTACCTCTCATTCCTTTTTATTCTTTTTACAGTGCTTACACCACATAACTAGGTTCAGTGAAGACAGTTGGTTCCAGCTGTATGTAATCTGTTCTTATGGTGAGAATTGTGTTTTCTGCATCAAGCATAATTTTATGCATCCTTTGTCTGATAAACAGTTCTTATCTGTATGTCTTCTTGATTGGGGGTGCTTCAAATTTTATCTTATTTACCAAGTCTTTTGTGTGTTAACTACACTTGCACGCATATCATTTCATTTGCTTGACTGGTGCCCTTGTAGAATATTTGAACTTGTACATTTAACCTTGTTCTGCCTTGGGCTATATGCAAGAAACTGAAGAAGCCATGTTTTCCCCCCTAGAATTTGGTCAATTTTTTGATTCATACGTATGTGTAACCACATTGTAATACAGAAATATTCTTGAAAGCGCTGTGTGTACTATCCAGAAAAAGATAGAATAGTTGTGTTCTGCAGTTTTTTCACTTGCATAATGTTTTAGTTTACATTATTTAACTAAACTTCTGGTATGCTTCACCTGGATTTGGATTCAATAATACAGATCTTCGAAAAGTTCTGCTTACAATGTATAATGAGTGTTTGAATTCCTTGGCTTTATAGAACATTTAGACCGAAGAAAAATCTTCAATTTGTTTGGCCAGATTAAGCTATAATTATTTTCAGTTTTGTTTTTTACACCTTAATTCGTGTTGACAGCTTGCAGAATTCTGACAAATGCCTGAATTCCTTGTTTACCTTCACATCAGGGAAAACATGCACTGTTTGGGCCGTTTGACAGAAATTTGAACTTTTCATTCCAGGTTCTCAAAGTTGTTGTCTGAATGGGACGAACGATGAAGGGACTGGCTGGCTGTCTGTTTTGAGTGGTGAACGAGTTTTGGTGGCACACTGTAGAAAACATTTGTCCCAGCTCAGTTATTAGCATAGATTTATACACTATTATTCTTTATGAGGGATACAATTCTTTAATCCGTCAAAATTCTTTCAATCCATTGTGAATGTAAAAACAGTTGCACAAAATATGCAAGTGGAGATACTGCGGAAGTGCTTTTGAGTTCATATTTCTCTATGATTCTCCAGCTCACTGTGTTCCCTTCACCAGAGCCTTTTCTGCCAACAGTATTCAGTCAATGGTAGTAACAATCTCTATGTAGCAGACAGATTGAGATATTAATATTTTCTTTTTTCCATTTTATTGGCGCAATCACTTTCACTATATTAAGGATTTAGAAGTCAAATTTCAATTAAACATAAGCTAAAACTTGAACTTACTGATTCCAAACACCATGGAATTATATCTTAAGCAGAAAGATGACTTCCTATAACAAACACCATCTTCTTTTTAGGGTTATAATATTTATTTTTATCATGGTTAGGATGTCAAAGTTTGATTTAAATCCACTTGCAGATCAAAGGTAATAGCTTGAAATTCAGTTATGTTTAGTTGTAGTTACAAATGCAACTAATGAATTTGAAGCTCCAATGTGTATGATCTCTGCATAATTTGAAAAGCTTCAACAAGTACACCAAAGAAGATAAATATATAAAAGACTTTCATCAAAGCATGTACTCATGCTCATTGTTGGTGGGTATTGCAAAACTATCGCTTGAGAAGTAAGTAAGAAGTTGATCCTTGCTTGGTCATTAGAATAATATCAGTTATTAGTGACAAGTCACTCACTTTATTAGAATGAAAAGAATTTGCAAAACATCGCTAATTAAAAAGATATATTAGTACTATGCTTTATTGCTTAAGAATGCACCATATCTTACGATTTGCTATTGAATTTATGAACCTATGTTTTTATTTCCTATCACGTACCAAACTTGATAATATTCTGAAAACAATTCATGTATTGCAATTCAAAAATAATTTAATTAAAAGATTCAACTTATTTAAAAGATGGTTTTTAGATAATAAATAGAATAAATAACAACTTCGTGAGCTATTTAAAGTGAAATGCGCAAAAAAGAATAAATAAGGAAAGCAAAAAAAAAGATAGAAAAAGGAAGCTGATTCTGTTCATTAGCTCAGTCTAGGGTTTTTATACACTTCGCTACCATTTTCATTACAGTAGAAAGATTCTCTCTAAAACTACTTGAAGAAATCAGACTGCTTCCAGGTAACGTCGATCTCTCTTCTCTTGCTTTTGTTTATGGATTTTCTGTAATTAATTCGATTTTTAGCTTATGGTTTATTATACTTGATTAAAATAACTATCGGTAAAACAAATCCAGAATTTGTTGTGAGAGAAGGTTTTCTGGTAAGGTACTGTTTGGCGAATGAAATGGATATAGGAAATGAACTGAGATTGAATTATTTTGTATGTAAGTTGTAATGATTTCTTATTTGAAACTAGTTCAACTGGAAGGAGTGTTATTTCAGTGACACATAATGATAGACCCAAATCTTTCCTGGAAGAGAATAAATGAGGAAGAAGATGTGAATTTTGTTACCGCGGTAGTGAAGAATTATAAAATGTAGGTTATATCTGGTGTGATTTGTTTCATTGTTCAAGTTAGCTACTTCTTTATGTTGTAATGGTCACTGCAAATAATGTATTTCTTAGAATGCCTTATTGTTGAATTTTTTGAGTGATAAAACTTTGTTCTGTTCGCTTCTTGGCGCATTTACTATTTCATATATAGAATCCGTTTGCTGAAAAATTCTTGGTCTGCCACTGTCTACAAAATACCAAGTGTAATCCCACTAGTAGGATTTTGGGAGGGTAGGATCCCACAAAAGATTCATTTAGTCGACCTCCTATTTTTCACCAAAAATGTTGTGATCCTGTACACAGAAGAAATCACTCAATTCTGTTGCTACCTTTACATATTTGTAAAGAGGAATGTAATACCAATACACAAAATGGAGAGGTTGGAAAAAGCATAGATTTGTCGTAGGATTTAGAATGTACTTTCACCACTACCTTTGGCCTTCTGTGGGTTGTATGTTAAGGTCCTATGGTTCATTCAAACCTAGTAGCTTTTTCTCGGACCCTGTATATTTGTTAAAAATTTCTCTTACTGAGTACAAATAATTGATTTTGAACCTAGAAAATCATATGAACTGTGGTAAAATACCAAATTTGGACCCATAAAGATCAAATTTTGGATCCGCCTCTATGTCAAGACACTTGTCAGTTTAAAGCTTATCAGTTGCCTTGTGTTTGCAGTAAATCTTTTGGTGAAATTCTTCAGGCAGGTTTTGATTCATGTAAAGTAGAGAAATAAGAGGTTTTGAATTAGAAAATTCAGAGCTCCACTTCTGTTTTCTTGTTTCCTTATAAAGAAACCTTTGGGTTCTGCTTCTACAGTGCTGTCTTATGTCTTCCAAGTTTCTGTTTGATATTGATAAGAGTTTTATGCATGCATGCGATCTGAAAGGCTCTGAATACGACAAAAGGAATTGTTTAATTTTCTATACTTACTACTACTCATCTTCATTTTACATATAAAAGACTTTTCATTCTCATTTTTGAACGGTAATTGATAACCTGGTTGGATACGAGGAGTAAATGCTCTCGCATGTGTGTCTGTATGTATCTTAACTCAGCAGTCTTATATCACTTTTCCGTTGTATGTTCTGGCCTTTGTACCTCTGATGCTGGTACAAAGCAGGTCTGAAAGCTTGACATGAAGCTTTTGACATTCTAACTACTAGTTGCATTGTTTTCTTCAATGAGTTTGTTGTGTATGTTAGTTGTTGGGATAGTTTATTGCCATGGTATAAGCTTCCGTGTAGTTATTTCAAAGTACTACTGTCATCTGATCCACCTTCCTGATGATTGATGAGATTTTTCTGGGCAGTCTGTTGTCTTTTTGTCCTGGTTTATCTAGACTGTGACTTCCCTCTCAATGGCCTAGGCTGCTTTATGCCACACAGCAGATTGAATTCATTTGTCAGGTTACTGAGACTTCTGAGTATTTCCTGCAGAAATTTGAATCGTCATCAACTTTTTGGGAACTCTTCAAGTGTCGTTCTTCATTTTGGGATGGGGGACGCGGAATCTCTTCAACCATCAAAGAAAAGGGCTGCTGTAAAGGAACTATCACGAGATAATCCTGGTCTTGATGATGATATTGAGTCATCTGAACAGGAGAATGGAACTTTCAAGAGAGCAAGCGATGAGGTGATGGCAAATAGGAGAATTGTCAAAGTTCGTAAAGCAGCATCAACTACAACTACTCCTTCTTCTAACCCTTTTGCAGCGATCCAGTTGGTTCCACCTGCTAATACCAGTACAACTCCTGCCGTGACCACAACTGAAGCTGGGAATGGAACAACATCTTCCAAGAAACCAGAAGATTCAAATGATCAAAGTGAGGAAATTAAAAAGGAAGAAACAGATGTGAGTAAGGAAGCTGATCATGAGAAGGAAAGTGATGAAAATTCTAAACTACCAGAAAGCAAATTTGAGTCAACCGCTGATGCTAATGTTGATAAGGAGAAAGTTGATAAGCCTAATGAGCCTAACAAACCTGAATCTACTGAAAAGAAGGCAGTGGGAAGTGAGAAAATTAAAGATGACACTAAGACGGTCACGGTAGTGGAGAAGAGTGCAGATGGCATAGAAGTGGGAGGCAATGAGACAGAAATTGAAATGGAAAAACACGTTGGCAATGGAAAAAATGACAAGGATGCTGAAACTGCATCTTTTAGCTCGTTTCAACAGCTCTCCAGTAGCCAAAACGCTTTCACAGGACTTGCAGGAACTGGGTTCTCCAATACTACATTCTCATTTGGAGCTAGTTCAAAAGAGGGATCTCCACTAGGGTTTGGTTCTGAATCAGGTGCTGGTTCTGGTTCTGGGTCTCTCTTTGGAGTAAAAAGCGACCAGTCAATTATCGGTGTTAGTCTTCCCACTAATGGAAATGCTTCTCTATTCGGTTACTCAGGATCTAGTGTTAAAAAGAGTGAGGGAACTGGATTTCCTTCCATGCAAGAGGTTCCCGTTGTAACAGGGGAGGAGCATGAAAAGGCAATCTTTACAGCTGACTCTGTGCTGTTTGAATATCTTAATGGAGGGTGGAAGGAGCGTGGAAAGGGAGAGCTGAAGCTCAATATTTCAAGTGGAACTGGAAAAGCTAGACTTGTTATGAGAACCAGAGGAAATTACAGGTTGATTTTGAATGCCAACCTTTATCCTGAAATGAAGCTCGCAAGTATGGATAAAAAAGGTGTCACCTTTGCTTGTATGAATAGTGCTGATGATGGGAAAGATGGACTTTCAACAATTGCTTTGAAGTTCAAGGATGCCTCTATTGTTGAGGAATTTCGAGCTGCTGTGACGGAACATAAAGACAAGATAGAAGTCTCTTTGAAGACGCCACCAAATTCTCCATGAACTTCAGATGACTAATAATTTTGGCAAAGAAACATAGAAATTCTATTTTCATCACTGAACCCATCTACATTTCCCCCCCTTTCTGCCCCTTTGCATAGTTAAAAAAAAGTAAAGTATTTTGTCCATAGATGGATAACTTGTAATCCTATATAGCAAGTAGAGCCTTCAACATTATGATGTTGTTTATCCCTGGTATTTCTTCTCTCTTTTGACTTTTAGGGATATAACTTGTGGTTTAACTGTCTTTAATATTGCTTTATTTTTCCCACGAATTGTAGACGCAACTCTAGCCCGATCTCATTCTATCATTTTCTGATGTAATGCTTTCTTTTGCATGTTGTTTTGCTCCTTGAAATTACTAAGTTCTTGTATTCCTATCTCAATTTAGATACAACATACCAATGTAATCCCATATGGGGAAGATGGTGTGTACACAACCTTACTGCTACCTTGTGAACGTAGAGAGAATGTTTTTGATAAATCTTTGGCTTTAAGTAAAGCTAATTAGAAATCAGACACGTAACGAAACCATGCTGAAATCAAGTAGGGTATTTAGATGACAAACCAGTAGTATTCCCATAGAAAACAGTGGTTTTTATTCTTAAGAGGTTATTGCAGAATAAACACGTTCTTGATTTGTTTTTATTGTGCTAAATTTGGTTTTCCCAAACAGATCGTCCAACCAATCCATAAGAAAATTAAATTTATCCTTATATGATTACTAATTACTAGTTTAAAAGGATGCAGTAACAGTTATCCTAATTCTTTTTGTTCAGAGAAAATTTGGATCTCTTCACGTGCTATGATTAGCTCTTTACCCAATGTCATTTCCTAGTTCACGGGTCATGCAAAGACAGTGAAAAAATTATTCAAAAGTGAGTGCACCAGACAGATTGGCCTACTACCTACATTACAGCATTTCAACCAATTATAAACTGAGCTTCACGCAATTCCATTAATCGTATGCGTTTTTTTTTTCCAGTAATCATATACTCGCATTGGTGCATCGCGAGTCCACACTGAAGAGTATGCAACTTTATACCTAGACCTCAATTCGAAACTACTGATTAAAGTACTTATTGGTTCGTTATATAGTGTTTGTTAATTGACAAAACGAACAGTAATTGCCTTTAAATTTGTGTTTAGGGTGACATTACAGGATTGACCTTGTCATACTGCAGAATTCTATGCTTCTTCTGAAGTCTACAAAAGGGTTAGAAAAAGGAGGCCAAAATTCAGAAACACACTCTCGTGAATTACTTTTCCATCTTCAAACTTGAAAACAGCATAAGAAAAAGAAATTTATAAAAATGGGAATTACCACACACACAGACACACACCAACAGAAAAGGAAAAAAAAAAGAAGCTAAAAACAATGAAGTCCAATAAAATATTCCAGACTGTAATAGTGCCATTTCTATGGAATTGAGTAGTTCTTGGTGCACATTCTTGAGCAGGATCCAACACAGTCATCCATTTTTCCACCATCTAAAAACAAAGAATGAAAAGAAAACATTAATTATGGAGCAAATACACCAAGACAAAGATAATGTACAAATAAAGATTACTCCCTCCGTTTTCAATTTGTTTATCTGGTTTTAACTTACACAGAGTTTAAGAAAGTAAAGATAACATTTACATTTTCTTGTCTTAAACTAAAGATACGTAGAATATACCAAAAAAAATTCTTTAATCTCGTTGTCTTAAACGAACTAAAAAAGAAAAGTAAGACAAACAAATTGAAACTTACTAGGTTGATGTTTTGTGCTGAGAGCAGAACATGTAGAGAAAGCACAACCAAGCTTGCAGAAGTTAAGGTTCTTACTGTCTGCAACATCATTGTGTGAAGTGGGAATAATAGAGGAACTATTACCTGGATCAGAACTAAAAATGCATTCTTTTAAGCATCTAGAAGTACAAGTACAAAGATTCTGAGAAGGTTCAATTAAGCAGAATATAAAGCATTTCGAATAGCAATCCCTAAAAGTGGAAACAGAGGCACTGGACTGCCCTATAAACATCCCAAATGCCATTAACACAAAAACAAAAGCCCATAACTTCATTTTTCCTTTAACAACAAAAAGTTCTTGGCCTATGGAAAAATTATACAACTGTAATAGCCAGTATTCACAAGTGGCATATATAGTAGTAGTAATAGTAGTAAAAGATTGATCATTGTTTTGGTGGTAGCTAAAGTTGCGGTGACATGTGATGGTTTTTTGTCTTTGCCATGGCTGTTTTTTATATTGGACTATTAGTATAAGCCGATCCTGGATTTGAAGTTTATGAGTTTATGTAATGTCCTCAAGTTAATAGTCCCTATAAAGTAACAACTAGGTACCACAATTAATAATTACTTAACTCGTACATCATACTTTGCATCCGCCACTGATCGTCTATTAGAGAGGTAGTTATAAAGGATAAGGCATATGAAAAAGAGTTTAAACCCACCTACCACCACTCTCCTCCCTTCTCTTCCTCTATATACATGATAATACTAGGAAGAGAAAAAAATAATCTATACAACCGACTGATCACAAAAAAGAGGAAAAAACAGGAAGAATTTTGATTAAAATCAAGGTAGGGTTTGCAAATTCGACCATAATCAGAGAAAAATGTATCAAATAATGTGTTTTGAGTCATAAATTTTTTATCTTTTAGTATATTAGATAGTGTGCATAAATTTCATAAAGTACTTTAAGGGGTCGTTTGGTGTGATGGATAAAGGGAGTTAATTCTGGGATAAATTTTGAGCACCCTTTAATCCTTTGTTTGGTTGCACAACATGGGCAAACTTATCCCAGGATTAATAATTAGTCCTGGAATAAGTTATCACTATCTTTGGGTGGAATAGTAATACCGAAATAACTTATCCCGGTTTAAGATAGATAACATGACAAAAGTGTCCCTTTAAACTCTTTTTATACCTTATTTTTTATATCCATATAAAATCATATATTATTTTAAATATCATGTATAATAATAGTTATGACCTTCACTACTCCTTATTTTTATTATAATAATTCTTCATATTTTTTAAAAAAATTACACTATAAATATAATTTTATTTATGAATTTATTTGACTAATTCTTATGTTTATTTATATTTTAATTTAATTTCCTTACCATCGAATTACATATTTTTAATTGTATATTCTTTTAGCCACTTAAAAATTTATATTTTATATATCAATTAAAATGAGAGATAAAATGAAATGCTACAGTACTGAATACAAGCTTCCCGTGTAGTTTTCTCTGAAATTAGTTTATATTGGTATTCTTTTTAGCTAGATCTTTTGTGTACTTTTTTTTTTTTTTATCTTCTTTTCATCTCATGTACGCTAATTTCGGGAAGAATTGTATTGTTAGTTCACCATGAAAGATGATTTAAAAATGAAGATAACTTTAGTATTTTGCAATTTAAGAATGATACGTGTTTAAATGAAGTAACATAAATAATAAATCATTTTGTACTTTAACAAATTTAGATGAAAATTTTATTCTTAAATACATTTGGTACAATTATGGAAATGCACACACAAAAATATTTAAGCTAAATAAGACGAAAGTTTTATTTTTAAGAATAAATAACTACTGCTTGAAAAGAAAATATATAAAAAAAAACACTAAATAATTGAAGGGTATTTTCGTAAACAAACAACCTATTCTTAGAATTTATGTAATGCATATTATATTAAAAGCAACCAACCAAACGGTCAATAAGAAATAATCTCAGCATAACTTATCTCATCCTAACTTATCCCAGCATAACTTATCCATCATAACTAATCCCATCATAACTTGTATTCAAACCAAACGACCCCTAACAATTTCCTCTATTTTTTTTTTAACTGCTTAATGTAATTGTAATACACCCAATTTTTTTAACTGCTTAATGCAAAATAACTATGTCTCAAACTCTCAATACCATACAAGTTAAGTTCATCATATAGAACTTCAGTGTCTATAGGCAAATGGTTACTTGGTGTTGCTGGAAATAAACCAGAAAAAAAAAGGAGGTTCTAGCTAAGTGAATTAACATACAGATTGTTCAGACTTTGTATGCAAACCTGATGCATCTATACATGCCCTGAGTAGCAAATCCCCCGTTCAGAAACCACAAAATATTCTAACAGGTAGTAAGGTACACATCACCAAAGCTCAAATTTTGCAGAAAGCTATATATACATTTACTCTTAAACTTCTCATGCAACATGAGAAGTACACCATATTTACATTGAGAACGTCAAGGTTTTTTGGTAGAGACAACTGAAACAGTAGGCACCTTGTCGCATCTTTATGTATGGAAGAAGCCTATACAACTTTGAACTTAAGAGAACACGTGTATACATACAACTTTTAGCTTAAGAGAACACATGTATATCTACAGTAAAACTTTCCAGCTGCTTGCTCTTTGCAGCCGGCTTCTGATTCAGAATCTTCTGGTCGGTGTGGCAGCGAAGCCACATACAGGAGAGTCTTGCTAAGGCTGCCCCACCAGCAACTCGAACCCTGTAAACCAAATTCAAATCAGCCCATATCTCGGATCCAGCCACCCTAGAGTCGAGGCCCGAATCATATCCATCTAGATCTGTTTCGGTTATCACCACTACAGCACCATCATCAAAGGCAAGCAAATTACGTCTAGCCAAGAACCTTGAACTCAACGAGATCATACTAGTCAAGGGGTTAGAACTGTATGTCTTTTCCACCATGATATGGTAGAAATCCTGGACAGCCTGGTTATTAGTGGAAAAACAGAATCAACAACAATAGCTAGAAAAATAAAAACCAAGTCAACTGGAGTATCTCATTAAGGAAGAAAAATCATGCATCTAAGAGAAAGGATCAATGAGGCAAATCTCTGAGACACCTGTCGCTGGGTAGAGGCCAAAAGCACCCTTGGACGAATTGACTTCACATAGTTATATGCATCATTTGGTGTCATCTGCTTGTACTTAACCTACAAAACAAAAGAAACTTTAGAAAGAAAATGTGTAAAGTGATCTCTAAACAATCTATTCAAACAAGTCTTAGTTTACCCACCAAGTAGCATAAGACAATGGTCGTGCTACGTCCTCGACCAGCCTTGCAGTGCACATATGTACTTTGTCCATTGGAAGCATTTTCTTAAAAGAAAAACAAGAAAAGTTTACTTAAAAGACTTAACCTACTAGTAAGCCCTCCTCTGGCAGTACTTTAAACAATTCTGTTGGAATTTTCTGTAGTTTCTGCCGGGGGAAAGGTGTAGAGGTCCAATCTTGATTAGGTATGAAGGAAGAGGAGAGAAGACAAGATGAAAAACATAGAAATTTATTCAACCAAGGCTAATTCTATGGAATTTTGTGTTCAACCCTTGTTTGTTTCGACAGAAGGCAACAAAAGTGAAAACAAGTCAATACACAAAGCGGCAGATACCTCAAAAAGTACTATATCCAAATAGCAAGACCAGCAACTTAACACATGTACTCCCTCAATCACATTTTAAGTGACATAATCACAATTTAGTGAATTGAACAAATATTTGATTGGACCATAGTTTTGTTGACTTTTGCTTAACCATGACACGGCATTTGAATTTGTAACATATTTTTTATTTGATAAACATGTAGTTTAAAGTACTTTTGTCTAGTCTCAAGAATAATATTTGATTATCAAAAAATCTGTGTCAACCCAAGAATTGGACACTTCAACCCTCAGACTGTCATTTTTTATATGATGGAGACAGCTCATAGTTCCAGAGTTTGGACAAATTAGATGAATCTCAAGATGAAAAGGGAAAAAACTGTCATGAGAAAATCCCAAAAGCATCCAGGAATTGAGGTCAAGAATGTTGACAATAGTGTAAATCAACGAACTAGTTAAAAAAGGGATGGGAAGGTACTTACCATGGATGAACTCTACTGCTTGACATATATTATTCAGTGATGGCGCAAATAAGTAATCTCTTGTGGGGAGAACCAAATGACGAATACCATGAGCCTGCAAGAAAAAATAGATAACAATAATGTGAAGAAAAAAAATTTAAATAATAAATCCATAGTGTAAAAGTACAAGAACTAGACAACTAGTTAATAGCGAAAAGTAAAATGTACGAATTAAGAAGTGAAAAACTTAACTTGTACTGGGGTGAGGTAGAAAGGCAACACTACTGTATCTCATATTTATAGAATTGATATCAGTAATACCATGAAGAAGATCGGAACACAATCAGTTAATAAAGGTCCTAAACAAGAATTGTAACGGACAGATAGACCGTGCGCATGTACATTGTCCTCAGCTAATGCAATGATACTCAACATGTCCTTAACGCGCATTCCAATTACATAGGGATGCAAAGGAAATAAGAGAAAGGGGATGAAGGTGAAGCTTGAATGAAGACTGGCTTGTCATTTCTATTTTTTAGATGAGGAAAGACCACATGAAGGAGAAACTTCAATGATGACTTGCTTCTGTTTTTCCTTTTTGATTTTGTTCTAGATCGATAAGGAAAGACTGATTTGTCTTCTTTTTTTTTTGAGATAGAAGACTAACTTGTCTTTTAAGTGAAGCATAACAGAAAGATCAAAACAAATATCAGAAATAAAAGAACTAACCTCATATAAAGAAGTTGGAACTAAAGTCTCATATGGCTCATTAAGGGTGACAACACCGGAGACACCAAGCTCCTTAAGCCTTTTCACATCCGATGGGAAAGGGACAGCACCTAATAACACAAACTAAAGGGGAGATTAAGTCAGTAATACAATCTTGTTATGCAGTAAAATATTAGAGTACAAACTACTACCCAACTATTCACTAAAAAATAATTGAAAGAACATGAACATCAATCAACCTATGCGATCTTCCAAGATGGTCAATGCAAACACACAAACTTAATCTCCAATATGAAGATAGATGCATATGGAGTTACGAGAAAACAATTGCAGCTTATATCATGAAAGTTTAAGATGTAAGAAGACATTTGTTAAGATTCCTACATGCACCTCCTTTACCTCGCTGCACATATACCAGACATTCTACAACCTTGAACAAATAATTCAAACAAAACCAGTAAAACATAAAACAGATATGAGGAACGTCAAGTCGTCAACATCACTATACATACTCCCTCCAAAATCAGTCCTCTTAATTTGACCAGGATGTCGGCAAACATTGAAGTTTACTGAATTTAAAAGGATTTGATCTAGAGTGGGGATAGAACTATCTTTCTGATCAATGTCAACTTGTACTGATATAAAGGAGAATCTCAAGTCACCTTTTGGTACATAACATTCTAAAACTAATTAGAATATTAGAAAAACTTCCTAACTAAAGAAAGTAAATAAATTTTCAGGAAACCAAGAAGGAAATGTGAGAGTTGATCGGGGATGACAATAGTGAGAGAACTTACTTAAAGAAGAGCTCAACAAATTTACTACTGGTTCATCTTCCTGGATAACAATGCATCTTTTGCCACATGTCGAAGGTTGATGATTAAAGGCAAATTTCTTTTAGAAAATTATCACAAGAAAATATTATGCCCCACGTGTCATTGTCTTGTCATTCCAAGGACAGACGATTAATCATCTTTCTGATGCATTTGATACAGAGTACTATATCAATCTATTACATGCCTTTTTATTATTGACAAGCATGTCTTTGGACATGCTCTTTCAGATAAAACTACGCGATTGATATTTATACAATTCAGTTGCACCCTCATTTTCTGAATAATCATGCATATAGTACTATTGTTCATCATTCATGACTTAGAAGTTCAGCAAGATGTTATAACAGTTCAACATCAGCAATCAAAGTAATCAACTTTAATGTAACTAATTTTATTTTTTTGATGAAGTGTAAATACTTTTTCCAGACAAAGCCTTTCAGAAAGATCTATCCTGCCTCAGATGACAATTAATTAGAATGAATTTCTAATATAACTAGTTCAAAATTTTATCAACACATCACATAACTATTTGGATACGCCATAGGGATTGGACATTATACGCAAAAACATTCCATCTTGTCTAAACAACTATTGAAGCATACTGACATCATTTGCACAATGACAAAGATACATTTAAAAAGACCACGTAATTCACTACAAGTGTATGCATTAAAGGGGAACAACAATAACAACAAGAAGGCATTCATTACAAGTGTATACATTAAAGGGGAACAACAATAACAACAACAAGGCATTCATTACAAGTGTATACACTAAAGCCAGGACAACAAAAAGTGTCAAAAGCTGGTATACCTCATCAATCCAGTCCCACCAGCGAAACTCCACTTGAATCTTGTTCCTAACAACATTGTAGAGAAGTGTCGGGTAAAACAAAGCCCGAGCACCAACTCCAACCATGACCCTCCTGACATCCAACACAACAATAGCATTCTTGCCACTACTACCACTAGAACACACCACCTTATCAGCAGGAAATGATTTCTCTGCCTTCTCTACCACTCCACCCATCTCCACTTCCCCATTCTCCAACTCTCCTCTCTTCTCTTCCTCTATATACATGATAATACTTGAAACAGAAAAAAAAATCTATACAACTGACTGATCACAAAAAAAAAGAGTAAAAAACAAAATGCAGAACCCACTTACCAAAGAAATTTAAAAAAAAAAAAGATTTATACAACGCACTGATAAACAAAGTGCAAATTCCACACGAAACCACAAGCTTTCACCTAAAATTCAAACTAAGATACTTGTAAACCCAATATCATTCTCATCACTGTCTTCAAAATCAACATAAAATAAATGGATCCTTCTCTCAAAATTAGGCAAATTATCAGTGAAACGGATCGGGGTCGCTGAAATTGCAACAAAGGTTCGAACTTTGATTAAAATCAAGGTAGGGTTTGCAAATTTCAACCATATTTAGAGAAAATTGTATCGATCAGACGGACAAGATCTTGCGGAGATGGTTGAGACCCTTGATTTGGAAAAGCAATTGAATCCGAATCGGTAAAAGAGTGGAGATAGCTTGGAATTGAAGAACCCTAGACGATACTCTACTTGGGAATTCAGATTGTCCCCTTTCTGTGTGAGTGTGCCACGTAATTTCAATCCTTTTTAAAAATATAAACTTAAAAGTAATTTTTGACGGTGACGTGGAAACCCCAAACGACAATTCACGAATCACGTTTAAGCCTAGTATTTCTGGTAGGGCCATTATGATGAATTTTTTTAAATTTTTTTTGGTTTTCCTACGGCACGGCACGGCACGTTCAGGGTTGGCGCTCTGAACAAAAAAAAAATTCATATCCAAAACTTGAATTTGTAATCTTTGGTTAAGAGTAAAATAATCACTCTACTGCACCACAACTCATGTTGGTCCTTGAGATGATTTTTAAGGACACATAACAACATGTTAATAGCTTCCTCAATACTGAGTCATCTTTGTTAGGGAGCATTTGATAAGGCTTTCGGGTGCAAATTCAAATTTAGTCAAGTTTCAATAAAAGTATCGAACACAGATTTAAAAAAACATTAATCCTAGCTCTGCAGTCACTCTTCTAATATAGTAGGGAAAAAAGTATTTCTTTTATTGCTCCAAGGTGGTTCGAAACAACAATTTTAGGATGTCCAAGAATTCTCTTTTGTTTTTAAGTATTACCATTTTGTTTTAAAACAAATGTTGTTTTAGTCTTTTTATTTTTTTAAAAAATAATTAGTGTTTTCTTTCAGTTTAATCTTTATCCAAACAACGAAAGTAATACATAATAAAAGAAAGTCATAATACATAAACATGATCATTAGCTTGGCTTCAATGGACAATTATGTCCTCCAACTTTGAGTGTGCACAAGTAGGCACTTAAACTTGTATAAAATTGAACAAGTAGACACATATATCCTACATGGCATAATTCACGTTGGAAGCCATGTATGACACAAAATTGCCATGTAGCTGGGTGTCATGTAGGACGAATCTATTTGTTAAATTTTATACAAGTTTAAGTGTCGTGTGCACACCCAAAGTTAAAGGTCATAATTGTCAACTGACGCCAGATTAAGAATCATGTTTATGTATCATGCCTAAAAGAAAACTACTACTAAAGAACTAGTACATCTTTTTAAGGTATATATGAAAGATAAGTTTAATGAAAATATATGATAGTAGACTTGAAATATCATATATAATACGTTAAGGATAATTTTAAGATATTTATGATAGATAAGTTGGTGAAAATATGTGATAATAGACTTGAAATATCAGGTGTAAATGCTAATAGATTATTTTTTTTTAAATTAAAATTTATCAAATATGAAAAAATAAGTGAGATAATAAAAGATTGTTGATCATTTATTAATGCCGGTGAAGGAGTTGTAATGTTTGGGCTGCTGGGATCACTATGCTGGGCTATGATTCTTGCAGCTTATTGAGGGGCCTTAGCGTACTGTATAATTGTTTTTGGGCTGTACCTAAGTAACCATCCTTATCATAGGAAATATGGAGTATTTCATTTTGTATAAATTTTAGGAATCACATAATTTTAAGCAGTATGATTGTTTTTTCGAATTAGTTACTTAATATATAGTTATTTTGGCTAATTTCAGACAAAAGTAAGTTCCTTCTTCACTTTTTCCTCGAACCTCCTCTTCTTCTTTTTTCAAATTTTAATTTGGTGTTGGTATGGAGTTTATGCACGCATGAATGTAACAAATACAATCGTCTGATATTTTAAAATATGTAAAAAAAAAAAAAGAAGTGGAAACATATAATACAACTAGTAAAATTATTCGCACTTCGCATGGAAATTTAATATCACATAATTTATAAAATAATATTTACAATCTATCAATCATTAAAACTAAAACACTATATTATCTTACATACAAGATTACGTAGTAACGAACATTAATAATGTAAAGGAAAATACTAATTATAACATCTTATCAAATATCCTTCAATCAATCATCTTTAATTTGATTTTATAATTTATCCTTTCGCCTCTAGGAAGTATTGCTATTTGATATTTTAGGGAAATTAGATGAACATCAACATGAGATATTAAATTTTCTAATAAATAAATAATATTTATATGTACTAGCAAATACTTATAATAATAACTTTGCAGAAACATAAACAACAAAGTTTAAAACATGTACTAAAAAATAACAATTAATATCATAAGCATAAATTAATGATTGTAAAAAAAATATACCAGGATCTATAACAATAGAATGAAACAGAAAGGAAAAAAATTGTGCCCCCTTAAGAAAATTATTCCCCTCTAGTACCCGAGGTTTAATAGAATAGATCCTCTCAGGATGGAACGATTTTATTCACAAGTATATTGATACAAAAACAATGGTGTCAGTGAGCCATTCAACGGGAGTAAAGTACTTGAATATTTAATTGTGCAGAAGAAGAAGTTTAGAATTTTCATAATTTTAAAATGAGAGGAAATTCCTCTATTTATAGACAACATAAGATAGTGTGAACGAATGCTTATTGTGCCTTATCGGAAATGTCACAACTGTTCGAAAATGTCAGAACCTTTCATAAAAGTCACAATTTTTCATAAAAGTTGTAACTCATCATAAAAGTAGTAACTCTTCATAAATGTCACAACTTTTCATAAAAGTCACATTTTTTCATGAAAGGGAATGACTATTTTTGGGTAACTCTTCATAAAAGTCACATCTTTTCATGAAAGGAGAAGATTATATTTGGAAATAAATAAATTTAAAAGGAAATTTTTAGCTGGTGATGGCGCCACGTATGCAGACCTAGGGTTCTCTTTTATATAAATATATGATTCAACAAATACAGACGTTTAACACTTAAAATTAATACATACAAATATAGGCACATAGGTGGAAACACAGGATACAATCTAAATCCAATAAATATAATACATCTCAAAGAATATATAAATACAGTTGTTTGATACCTCAACAAAGGGTGAAAATTCAAAATACAGATAAAGAGGGTGGGGGAGGATAGATTTATAGATCGTTAATTATATACCCAAATGATAGTCATGTTTGAAATTTTCTCATTTATTTATTCACATCAAAAGAAAAAAGATCTGAAACTCCAATAGTTGACACACCACTATATATTATAATATAATATAAGTACTTTCTCCATTTTATTTAGTGTCTCTCAAAAGAACGATTTTTTTTAAGACAAACTCTTTAGTTTCAGCTTTTCACATAATATATTTAAGCCATCAGATTAAAAGACAATTTTAATATATTTTTAATTTAAAACCACGAAATTTTTTTTAAAAAAAATCTTTAATGTGAAAGGGAGGGAGAGTACTAGGTAAAACTATATATGTCATTTACTATATATGGCGTTTACTTGAAGAAATGCTGATTAGAGCTTTAAGAAGGATTCGAGACTGGCCCATTCAACAAAGGTGGACCATGCATAGGCACTAGCTCACTTTTGCTTTTTTTGTTTTGTCCTTTAGTTTTCTACACTAACTTGGAATATTAATTGGATCACACTTTTATATGGATGTGATGTGAAAGGGTTATATATTCATATATATTGAATTATATAGATTTTAAAAGAAAAGATTTTTTTAGTCTTCTAGAAGGAAAAATATCGCAAAGAGAAGTTCATGATATCTCTTTCAGATGAATTGTCAAAAATTTAAAATTTATGAATCATGAATTCATATAACAATATAATTTAGTTATTCTATTCATACATTTAATATATCTCGAGAGATCTAAACAAAAGTTATTTGGTTTGTTCGAGCCAACGCCTCTGACATGTGACAAGAGTCACATTTTTTTTATTTTTTGTTACATAGAATTCTTTCAACTTTAATGGTTATTGCATAAAATTATGTGTAAATTTCATATATGACACATATTATAATACTATTTTCAGGCTATAGCAATAGATTTAAACTTTCAAGCAATAACATTAAAAATTTCAGGTTATAACAAATTCACAAATAAAAGAAATATTTTTATTAATTTGAAAAAAAGTAAAAAAAAAAAAAAAAGATAAACGGAATTAGAGATAATAAAGTAAAAATCTGAAAGTGTGGCCTATAATTTAATTTGAATTTATTGTAGATAATTAATGATTAGCATGAAATAAGGGATTCAAACAAATTAACAATATTTTTTATCCTTAATTCACTCAAAATCAGTCAAGATAAACTAAAATATCAGATCACATCATTTTTTTGTAGATAATTAATAAATAGCACGAATTAAGAGATTTAAACTAATTAAGATTATTTAGTATCCTTAATTCACTCAAATCAGTTAAAATCAAATAAAAATTCAGATTTTATCTTCTTCTTTTTTCAACGTTTCTCTCTCTTCAATTTGCAACAAAAAAAAATCAATGTTTCTCTCTTCAATTTTCAACAAAAAAAAAAATCCCACATTCGAGTAATTGAAGTTTTTTTCATCTTTGAAAATTCTTGATTTTGTTGTGATGGACAACTACGTATCAGTTTTAATCAAACATGGTAAAAGTGGGATCCTTCGGGTTAGTATTTATTATTGTTTAACGTTTGTTTTAGAATGATAGCGAAATAAAATAAAAATGATCAAACTGTCGATTAATTGAAGGTGGAGTCATATTTTGTTAACTGTTGATATCATATTATGTTACTGTTGTGAAATGTAAAAAATTTAGTGTTTTTTTTTGTTTATTTTGTATACGGTTGTTGTTTTGTGAAATTATAAATTTAATGTGATTTTATGAATAAATTTGATAGAATAAATTAAATGAAATTTGTATGAAAGTGTGCTAATTATTCTGTAAAAATAATTTAATTATAATGTTGACGAATTTATGAAAATTTATTTTATTTGATAATGAATTTGATAGTATAAGTCGAATGAATTATGTATGAAAAGTGTGTTAAGAAATATGTAAAAAAAGATTTGCAATTCTTGACGAAGTGTAATACAAGTGTTTTAAATTGGTATTAAATGTGAAATTGTTGAGTTTATATTAGTTTTGTTATTTCTGTATAAAGTTGGTGACAATAATTAATTATTTGGGGACGAGAAATGTATATAGTTTGAATGAATAATCGTTTTGTATGAAATGTATATT